TAGTGCAAGATACTAGTTTTTGAATTTTGTGTACTGTACCAAATCTTACCGTAATGTTTTGCTTTTGCAAAACACGGGCTAATTTGTTGGTTACTCCTGAGATATATGGAATTTTCATTGTTTTAACAATCTGGTCGCTTTCAGCAGTATTGCTTTGCGATCATGATTTGGCATTCAGTGCTCTGTTAATTTGAGCATTGTTGTAGCCATTCTGTCATAGTGCGTCTTTAATGTGTTTAATCTCTCTCACTAGACTCTCACCATATGACACTGTTTTAGCCCGATGTATGAGCGTCTTGATAAGGGAGGATTTCTGAGCTGGATGATGATGTGATTCTGCATTCAGATATGCATGTAAACGCTGTGTTATTTTACCGTTTAGGCCATGTCCAAGCAAAATATCTAGGAATGGGAGTGTGTTATTCACCTCAATTTCCATGGTGAACTGGATGGCCGGGTTTTGTGCATTGAGATGATTTAGAAAATCATTAAGTGTATCTTTACCATGTGGCCAGACAACCAAAGTGTCATCCACATATCTAAACCAAAAGGATGGTTTTAATGTGCTCGAGGCAAGTGCTCCTATTTCAAAGTTTTCCCATGTACAAATTTGCTATAGCAGGGGATAAAGGAGAGCCCATTGCTGCTCCTTCCTTTTGTTTAAATAAATCCCCTCTCCATAAGAAGTAAGTGTTATTTAAACAATGGCCAGCAAGTTTCGGAATATCTTTTGGTAAACTGGCATTCTTTACTAGTGTATCAAGTAATTTAAGCGATTCGTCCACTGGAACCTTAGTGAATAGAGAAATCACATCAAAACTTACCAGAATATCATCAGGAGTAAGTTTAATATCTTTAATCACATTCACAAGATGTTCTGAATTTTTTTTATGAATGAAGATGTCCTACCGATGTAGGGCTGTATTTGTTTGGTTATATATTTTGCCAATTGATATGTAGCAGAGCCAATTGTACTGACTATGGGTCGTAATGGGATGCCGATTTTATGAATCTTTGGTAGCCCATAGAGTCTAGGTGGTTTTGAGGCCCTTGGCTTAATTTGGTATTGCTCATTTTTAGGGATTAATGAATTTGCAATTATTGCAGTGGTCTTACGTTCTAAAGTATTAGTTGGATCTCGTTTAATTTTAATGTAGGTACTTTCCTCTAGTAAATTTCTAATTTTATTATCATAATCGGCTCGTGACATCACTACAGTAGTGCGGCCTTTATCAACTGCTAGGATTTGGATATCCTTATTTACACGCAGCTCTCTTAAGGCTTTTGCCTCGTTAGAGCTAATATTTACTTTTGGAACTTTGCTATTCTCAACTATTTTGGCAACCTCATGTCTAGTCATCTCTGCCTCATTATGTGGAAGGAGTCTAACTGCTGATTCTACCTCAGCAATTATCTCATCCACTGGAATTGTGCGTGGAGTAACGGCAAAGTTAAGGCCTTTAGAAAGGACAGAGACCATGTCACCAGTTAATACAGTGTTAGTCAAGTTCAGTACGGTTTTATTTTTAAAATTTTTGGTTTTTACTAGGGATTTGTTTATTATGTAGTCTAGAAAATGTATTAATTTGGTTAGTTTTTGTTAGTTTAAACACATTATCAGCCGATTGTTGTGTTATGGTATTGATTATAGTCCAATAATGCATAGATACACTATTGCTTATATCTAAGTGTAACTGCTTTAGCGATTCCGAAATGTAAGATAATTCACTCCTATTGTGCTGTATTCTCTCTATTAATAATAATTCGCGAGCTTTGTGTAGTATTTGGTTAGCTTTAGAAGACTTTATGTGATGTGTTATTTTAACTGCGTTTGGTATTACCTTTGAATCTCTGCACCTTTTGAGGAACGCCAGTGAAGATATCAATTTCATCCGCTTAATGCGGAGCTTTTCCAATTTTCTGGTTTTAAGAAAAGTATCCTCCACATAGAGGTTAGTCAGTTTAACACGTAGGCTTTCGCGACCAATATTATTCATAATAAAGGTTTTTGGGTTAGATCGCATTATTTATAAATGTGTCGTAACCCTCCACCACCCGACACGGCCAATCAGCAAAAAAAGTGTCACGTTGACAAAAGACAAGTAATTCACTACTTTAGCCCATCGGTGTGTTGAAGAGTGAATCCACAACATTTACAGTTTGAGTACGCCGTTTCGCTGGTAAATACATCCATCATCATCAAGCAATTCGCCAGAATGCTAAAGCCCTCGCTTGCTCCCTGTTTTATATAGAGCAGCAGGGTGACGTCATCATTTAACTCATATCAGGTGCAGTGATTAGAGGCGGAGGGGGGGTATTGTAATTATATAATCGATTAGTTATGATTAGTAATGAGTTGTAGATTAGTAATTAGTTGTAGTGTGTGTTAGTGATTATATGCTATGCTATGTTAGTAATCCGTTAATTAGTATGTGTTTCCCCTATAAGGAATTGTAATGTGAAAAAGCACCGTACACCAACGCTGTGTGCAAAAATCCCAGTGGGATGCAAGTCAAACAACAACAACAACCACAAGGAAACTTAGATTAAGGCCATCAGTCTAACTCTGTACTACAACAAACAAACATGGCCAAACCAAAAAACGTTTTCGAAATCACCAAAATAGATCCATAAAAGCAATGTAACAACAGTGATCATAGGGACTGTGACCGAACTTTTAACAATAAACTCCAGGTGGGGCCCCAATACGGTCGCACCTCTCGGCTGCACTGAGTATCGTGGTGCCTCTTGCAATGATCGCATTGTGACGCTCACGGTTTTGAACATTTAACGCTGTAGAATCAAAATGCCGTCGTATGGTGGTGGTCAAGGGGCCTCCAGCTCGTAGCTTTGGCCACCAAGGGGGAAGGGGGAGGGGGGAAGGGGGAGGGGGGAAGGGGGAGGGGGGAAGGCGCCCCCTCCCCCACGCTCGTCACTCCGCTACCGCTGCGACTCTCCACACGGTGCTGCTCGTTCCGTATGGGTCTCCAGGGATACCGTTGATCATTTCCTAGCGCCACAGAAAGTGACTCTGAGCGACATTCATCGCTCTGGCACGAAGTGAGGCGTCACGGTCGCGGAGAGCAGTCGATTGTCTGAGCATCATCATCACCACCATCATACTCTTTGGTTCTTTCGGTAAAGTCACGTAGGTATAGAATAAATCACGACGGGCGCAACACAAGCGTCCGTCATCAGGTGGGAAAGCGATGGTCTGCTGCTGAGGCAGACTTTTAAAAGGTTTGAAATGGGTGTAGCCTAAGGGTCATAAAGAAGTGGCCGGGGCTAGTGAAGTTAATGTGATAAATTAGCATGTAACTGTAAGCTAGGAGAGTGGCCTCCTGGACGAGGACACAGAAGTGGCTATGGTAATGTGAGAGATTAGCATGATGTTAATGTGAAATCGAAGAGTGGTGCAATCCAAAGGACATGTGAGCATGAGAGATCTAAGATAGATGCATAGAGAGAGACAGAGAGTCGGAAATAACAGCTGACATAGGCAGGTAGGATGGAAACATCACAGTCAGTTAAGACTTTACCTGGTTAATAACGTCCTTCCAATGATTGCTCAGTTTGTACCCATCTTCTCGGTTGAAGTTGTGTCTGTGTTTATATATCTGGATGGCTTCATGAACAAATCTCTGAAGGTAGCCGTTAGGTTTGCAGAGTACCTCCATCTTGGAAAAATCTATTTCGTGTGAGCCCACAGCGTTATAACAATGATCGTGTTTCAGATCTGCCTTGTGTTCACCAACGCGGTCCGAGACATGTCGTTTCGTTTCCCCAATGTAACTGCTTATAAATCAGCCCCAAGTACTGTACTGAAGAAGCTTGATTCCATCTATCACTCGGCCTTAAGATTTGCATTGAACTGCCCATATAGGACTCACCACTGTGATCTCTACATTGGGTCAAACTTAAAATCTCTTAATGTTCGACGGCTTGTGCACCAGATCTCATTTATTCACGATGTACTTACAAAAAAATCCGCAGACTACCTGCTGGATCTCCTCTCTGTTTCAAAGAACAAATTTGACCTCAGGTCTTCGCTCATTTACCAGCTTCACATTCCCTATTGCCGTACAAAAACTGGAGGAAGGGCCTTTACTATTGATGCCCCCAGAGTCTGGAATGATATTGCCAATAAACTGCAACTTGAATCACTACCTATGAGATCTTCACTCAAAACTGCTCGAGGAGTTGTATACCCCTAGCTGCCACTGCTATTCAGTGGCCTAAAATAAAATGTTTCGCTCCTGATGACCGCTGCAAAATATTATCTGTATTTTGATTTAGTGTGCTGATCTTAAAGGTGCATTGAAAAAATTTGATACTCCGACTGATGCTCCTGTTGTTTTGGAGTGACTCATGCAGCCAGGTATGGCTCTAGGGTTTGGTGTTACATGTTGTTTATGTGGTTTATTGTGGAAATTCGGTCACAGTTCCTATGATCACTGTTACATTGCTTTAATGGCTTTATTTTGGGGATGTCGAAAACGTTTTTTGGTTTGGCCATGTTTGTTTGTTGTAGTACGGAGTTAGACTGATGGCCTTAATCTAAGTTGTCTTGTGGTTGTTGTTGTTTGACTTGCATCTCACTGAAATTTTTGCACACAGCGTTGGTGTATGGTGCTTTTTCAGGAATATTTTGGTGTTTTTTTTCCTGGATTTTCTGTTTGCACAGTCACAGTCACTTTAAGATGTTTTCTTGTTCATGTTTTTGTTTTTTGTTTGTTGCGGTTGCACCCGATTCAAGAGCTGAATGGCTCACAGGGCTATACCAAATAAATAAAACTGAAACTGCTGCCGCAACCACAACTCGGTTTGTAGACACCATCATCGCCACCATCATCACCATAATCATCACCATTGCCACATTCGTAACCATCATTATCAACATCATGTCACCAACATCATCAAGACCATCATCATCGTGAACATGATCACCACCACCACCTCCTGCTCACCACGGCGCTGTCGATTGCACACATCGAGAGATGTATTTACAGGCAATATTTATTCATCGTTTGACAACGTGGAACATCTCATAGACGGATATAAAACAATGTTTACAAAAATACTCTGTATGTCAAATGCAGTATAAATACAATACGATTTAATAGCTCCAGTCTGAGTGAAATAACACTTATCGACAAAGACACGCAGTCAAGGCAAGTGCTGTTAGACCGGCGCAGGTGGCCAGCACCACACCCGCCCGCCTTTTTCTCCCCAATGCGGATGTGGTTTACAAAACGCACCATTTGCTCATTTCAGGTCCAATTCAAGAATCCATCGTCATTCTCCACGAAGTGGCGGTGACGTCACCACGGCCCTTGTGCCAGGCTAGGTGTACTTTGACACACACATAATACACGCACACGCCCGCGCATAGATACACAACAAAGACACACTGCACACCCCACACTCTATCCAGCATCGCTTCACTCCACACATATTGAAGAACAAACATCGTCTATATAATCCATAGAAAATATAAATATCATCAACAACAACGCTGAGCAAATAAATACAGAACAACTTCTCACGCCTTAATATTTTTCCTTCTCCCGCACCTCCCATGGGCACGATTGGTTACGTACGGCGCGAAATAAGTTTAACACACATTCAATACATACATTCTCCCCCCCCCCCCCAATCCCCTTTATAGATCCGAGCGCCCCTTCCCATCGGCGAGGGCAGCCGCGTCTCCACGTGGTTCGGGGTCAGGGGTCGCAGGGGAAGGGGTAGGCCGCCCACGGGTCTTATTCTGCTTCGAGTGTTCGTGTCCGTGCTCGTATCCGTGTCCGTGCGCGTGTCCGTGCGCGTGTCCGTGCGCGTGTCCGTGCGCGTGTCCGTGCGCGTGCCCGCTCGACGCATCTTCGTTCTCTTCCTCTTGGAACTGCTGCGCCTCCCCGAGCTGCCATTGCCCGTCGGGCCCCAGTTCTCCGGGCACGCGGAAGGACACGTGCTCGGGGCAGGGCCCCGGGATATTGCGGCACACGAGGCCACGCAGCGACGCCGTGTTCACCAACTCGAAGGCCCTGGCGCCCCCGAATGTGCTGGGCTTCCAGTACTCGGGCGAGCAGATGGGGTTCCCCATGAGGCCCTTGAGAGAGAAGGGGGCGCCCATCTCCACCATCGTCTCGCCGAAGATAGCGCCGGGCCGCGGCCGTTCCAGGATGAGCCCCGGGTAGAGCTCCAGGGCCTCCACGTCTCCGTACATCTCGCGCAGCTCCGCGGCCATCTCCGTCTCGCCTGTGGTGCGGGGAGGAGGAGGATGAGGCTCGTGTGTGTGTGTATGTAGAATTTCTTCTGCACCATACATAGCCATCCGTGCTAATCGAAGGTGCGGGGACAACAAACTAAACACAAAAAGCAGTTCTTCAGAAATTAGTTTATTAGCTAGACGATTTAAAAGTGCATAGCTCCAGTGGCTTCCTAATTTCGGCAAGAACAGCGTTCCAGACGGTTGCAGAAGCGCATCTGAAAGTGCGCAATGCAGTGAGACCAGCATGCGATGAGGAAATGCGTTTTGGTATTTAAGACGATCGCCGAGCACAGGGGCCCAGAGGCCACAACGTCAAGCGGCCAGCAACAAACAGCACTGGTACAAAAGTAGTAACAGATGAGAGTGGAACTCGTTGCTGGAATTGAGTGAGCTTATCGTTGCTATTATTATAATCATAAGAGCTTGGGAAAAGAGATGCTGGGGTGAAATGTCCAGGACCTCCCCGAGGTCGACTCAGCCTTGAATTATTCACTTGCTTCAGTGCGTTAAACATTGGCACTGAGGAGACAAAGGCGGTCGGGGCATGGTGCTGGCCGCACCGCCCACTCGTGCGCTATAGCGGCCTTCACAGGTACTGCTTGCTATATGGGGGACCTTTGTCTGTGTGTGTGTGCGTTCATGTGTGTGTCTGTGTGCGTGCATGTGTGTCTGTGTGTGTGTCTGTGTGTGTGGTGGGGAGCGATAGTGTAGCGGTTAGCGCGCTGCACTATGAATCCGGCAACCCGGGTTCGATTCCCGCTCACGGCCAACACCAGTGACGATTATCTGAACTGGTCCCGGGCCTCCCCTAGGTCGACTCAGCCTCAAATAAGTACCTGGTGCGGTGTGTAAACATTGCCACTAGGGAGACAAAGGCGGTCGGGCGTGGTGCTGGCCACCCACCCCCTCGTGTACCGTTCCGGCCTTCATAGGTGCTCGCTAACAGCACTTGCCCCTACAGTCTGTTAAGGCTATACGGGGGATCTTTGTCTGTGTGTGTTTGTCTGTGTGTCTGTGTGTCTGTGTGTCTGTGTGTCTGTGTCTGTGTGTGTGTGTGTGCGCGTGCACGCACCGGTGACATCCTCGAAGGAGCGGTAGGACTTGAGGCCGAATCTCCTGCGGTAGGCGTTGAACGACTGAAAGCGCATCTGACGGCTGTGCTTGATCCCAGCCACGGCCACTCGCAGCACGGAGCTGTGGATGTTCTTACCCCCTCCGATCTGAGGGAGACAAACACGGACGGGAGGGCGCAGAGGTCAGTGTCAGTATGGAAAGTGTTGAGGGGGGGGCGTAAACCGCAACGTGTACGACATCCGAAATGCATCCCAGAGACTACATCCACTGCAGAGATGGAGCAATGAAATCAGCTCGTGGACTGGTGCCAGGGGGTTCACAATTCGACCGTTTAGCAGTGGATTGATCATGGCCGATGACGACGCCTATCCCCGCTCTACGCGGCTCCGGCCGATAGCTCTCAATCAATGCCCCCCCCACCCCGCTGAGTGAAGCCCCCCACTCCCTCTACCCCCACTCCCTCTACCCCCACTCCCTCCCCGCCCCACCTTCTCCCATCATCGCTCCAGCGGCTTTCACGAGTGTGGCGCCTGCGATCGGAACCTCCCCACCAATTGAGTCGTGACGTCCATCTCCCCCTCCCCTCCTCCACCCAGACCCCCCCCCAGCCCCCCGCCCCAGGGTGGCACTCACCCGCCCGGCCTGCTGACGAGCGAACGAGTCGACGAGGCCCTCCACTCCGTGCTCCAGCAGCACGGAGTTGTTGAAGAGGAACTGGGGGTAGCGCACGAGGCGCCCCTGCAGGGCGAACGCGTCGGGCATCAGCGGGTGCCAGTGGTACAGGTGGTTGAACTCGGCAGCGATGCGGTTGCGGTACTGGAAGTTCTCGCGGAACAGGAGCTCGGGGTCGAACTTGAGCCGGAAGTGGTAGCCGCTCAGGTGCTGCACGTAGTCCTCAATCACGATCTTAATGGTCTGACCTGCGCGGGAGGAGCGGGGAGGTTATTCGGAGACAGCTGCCGCTGGGGGTGCCCTTTCAAATGTGTCGAGCCTTTAATCGGACTGTTGGGGCAAGTTCTGTTTGCGAGCACCTATTAAGGCCGAAACGACACGCCAGGGGGTGGTTGGCCAGCACCACGCCCGGCCACCTTGGTCTACCCGGTGCTGATGTTCTCATTTAAGGTTGCGTCGACCGAGGGGAAGCCCGGGACCGGCGTTGTGAGCGGGAGTCGAAACTCACCTTGCCGGGTTCAAAGTACGGCGCCCCAGCCACTGCGGCACCCCACCCCCCCCCCCGTCTCCCCCGACCCACCCCTCCCCACTCACCGATGAGCACGAGCCTGGCCGTCTGGAAGAGGCGTTCGTCGTCCCACTCGGGGTGGTCCTCCCGCAGGATGGCGCACACGCGGTTGTGCTCGCGCAGCCACAGCGTGGAGAACATCATGAGGCCCGGCACGAGGCCGAAGCTCTCGTGGCCCACGGCGAAGCGCGCCCGTGCCGGCACGTGCTCCGGGTACATCATGGCCACCCGCGCCTCGTCCACGCTCGGCGGGTACACCTGCCCGTCGATCACCTGCGGGGCAACGGGGTGGCGGCGGCGGTGGGAGAGATGGAGGGGAGGATGGGGAGAGATGGAGGAAGGAGAGGGGGAGAGAGGAGAGGGAAGGGGTGAGCCTCAGTTGTCATCACACCGCGACTCTCCCTCTACTCCCCGTGTGCTCACTTAACGTCCCCCCAGTCCCCAAGATCCCCTGGCTGCCGTCGCGACTTCCCACGTGATCAGCAACGGCCTCCACAGCCACCCGGTAGCCCTTTAATTCGTGACGCGCGGGCACAGGGTGGTGACGCAGGGTGGTGACGCAGGGTGGTGGCGCAGAGTGGTGGCGCAGGGTGGTGACGCAATGTGGTGACGCAGCGGTTAGCGCGCCTCACTATGAATCCCACTGCCCGAGTTTGATTTCCGGCCACAGCCAACGTCGGTGGCGACCGACAGGTGAACCGGCTGCGGGTGCCTACCAAACCCGCACTGACCAGCGTGGTGAAGTATGGCCAAAGAACTGATGTGACCAACAAGGTGTGTGGAGGCCTTTATCCGGCAGTGGATTGGGCTGTGTTTAATGTACACTGTTGCACGTGTACAACGGGCACATGTGCACACGTGTACACGCATGTGCATGTACACGTGTGTATGTGGACAACATGAGTTCTCACCTGGAACTTCAAATTCCCGCCCTTGAAGAGCCGCAGCTGGTGTTGGGTCTCGAGCGAGTCTCCGTACACGTGGCTCAGATCCACCTGTGGGAGACACCATCATCATTAGTACATCACCATCACATCATTGTAACATCATCATTGTCACATCACCATCACCACCCACCATCAATCCGACCCCCACATGAGATGCGGAATCCACTCGGAGCTCTCGCTGAGCAGCGCAACCTCGTCCGTGTCGTTAGAGAACGGCCCGTGGAAGTGGATATGACAGAGCTACCTCCGAGATCCCTTCTTCGTTAAGCGACCTCTGTTCCACGCACAACAGAGTGCAGTGCCTACCCACCCGCCCTGCCACTGAGAGCTCGTCGTGTGGCGGACAAAGCGGCAGCATGAACCCCCGGAGAGAGTGCGGAGTGTAGAGTGTGTGGAGTGTGTGGAGAGTGTGGTGTGTGGAGTGTGTGGTGTGCGGTGTGCGGAGAGTGCGGAGTGTGTGGTGTGTGGTGTGCGGTGTGCGGAGAGTGTGGTGCGTGGTGTGCGGAGTGTGTGGAGTGTGTGGTGTGTGTGGTGTGCGGAGTGTGTGGAGTGTGTGGAGTGTGTGGTGTGCGGAGTGTGTGGAGTGTGTGGAGTGTGTGGAGTGTGTGGTGTGTGTGGTGTGCGGAGTGTGTGGAGTGTGTGGAGTGTGTGGAGTGTGCGGAGTGTGCGGAGTGTGTGGAGTGTGTGGAGTGTGTGGTGTGCGGAGTGTGCGGAGTGTGTGGAGTGTGTGGAGTGTGCGGAGTGTGTGGAGTGTGTGGAGTGTGTGGTGTGCGGAGTGTGTGGAGTGTGTGGAGTGTGTGGAGTGTGTGGTGTGTGTGGTGTGCGGAGTGTGTGGAGTGTGTGGAGTGTGTGGAGTGTGTGGTGTGCGGAGTGTGCGGAGTGTGTGGAGTGTGTGGAGTGTGCGGAGTGTGTGGAGTGTGTGGTGTGTGTGGAGAGTGTGGTGTGTGGTGTGCGTGAGTGCGGAGTGTGCGGAGAGTGTGGAGTGTGTGGAGTGTGCGGAGAGTGCGTGAGTGCGGAGCACGTCAGTGACAGCGAGCGGCCCCACGCACCCCGTGTCCCAGCGCGCGGGTGAACTCGGGCCCCTTCTTGAAGTCCGTCTTGAAGAACTGGTGGGTGAAGTGCTGCGCGAAGAAGGCGAACATGAGGTTGGTCCCCTGGGGGTCCGGCACGAAGCGGCGGCGCCTGAGGAAGCGCTCTGCCAACTCCTGCGCGTCAGGCAGCTGGGCCTTGCCTGGGGCGGGGGGGGGGGCAGCGGTTAAATGAGTACCTGGTGCAGTGAGTACAAAACATCCGCACTGGGGAGACAAAGGCGGCTGGGCGTATGCTGGCCACCCAACCTCTCCATATGGTGTACCGGCCTCAAAAGGTTATCCCTGACAACACTTGCCCTAACATTCTGTTAACGGCTGTACAGGCGATATTTGGTGTACTGTACAGTGAGAGATTACAAATTCAAGTAGAACAACAACATTGTTGTAAGTTTACCCAACGCTACAATGTTTAATTTGTTTCATTTTAGTAGCGTGGATAATACTTCTGCAGACTGCACACCACATCCAGTATACCTCCGCCGCGCACTGTGGTTGTGGCTACGAATCATGTGCCAAACTATTCCCGTCCACCAGCGATAACTGAAGATACTCAGGGATACACGAAGCCCCCGATGACACCGCTAAGATTGGGATGAGCGCTGGAATTCAGAGTTAGGGGATAAGTCCGGGGTTAGGGTTAAGGGTTTAGGACCAGTGTACGGGTTTATCTTCCTCTCGCCCCTCCACTCCGTTCTGTCCCTCCCCTATAGCCCTTCCGTGACCCTCACGTGCCCTCTGTTACAGTCACTCATCCCTCGGCCCTTGCACGCCCCCGTCATCGAAAATCGCTCTTTTTCTTGTGACCGCTTTTAAACTCCGCAAAGCGCCTTGAGCTAAGGCGCTCTCTAGTTCTAAACTAAGGTGAGCAGGGTCGAGAGGTCGAAGGGCATGTTTCGGGTTCAGAGTTGATGAGCGGTGGCCGTGATCGAGCGCGGCTGGGCCACGTCCCCACTTACCGGCCACCCCCATGGGCGTGGGGCAGTCCTCGGGCACGGGCGGCAGCACGCGCGTGAAGTAGCTCACGTTGGAGTACGACTCCCACGACTTGTAGCCGTAGCGCGCGTTGTACGTGGGCGGGCTGGGCACCAGCGTGGAGCGAGCTGGATGCGCACACGCGGACACACAAGACAAGGACACAGACACACACACAGACACGCACTCGGTAAGACACAGATCCCCCCCCGCCCCCCTCCTGGAGACTTGGAATGCTCTCACGATGCTGACGGTAACTTTGCTGCCTCTGCTCTTGCTCGTGATACTGCTACTTCTGCTCACGATGATGATGACGATCGTGGTGGTGGTGGTGGTATCGGTGGATGACTGATGAATACTGCTGCTGCTTATTACGCTGCTGCTGATGATGAGAATACTGATCATGCTGTTGCTTATCGTTGTACTGCTGCTGAGACTGTCCATACTGCTGCTGATGTTGTTGTCACTTACACATGAGCACGTAGCGCATGATGGCATCGCGCAGGAAGGGCACGCTGTTGACGAGGCGCCAGGCGCCGGGGAAGTGCGTGAGGAGGTGGTGCACGGACTCCGGGCTCGGCTTCAGGGCCATCTTCACTGCGGTCCACAGCTCGGCTGGGCACGGGGGCGCACGGGGCGGTGAGGGTTAGCGGAGTCGACACACGGAGGTGGTGGCGATGGTGGTGGTGGCTTTGGTGGTGGTGGTGATGGCGATGGTGGTGGTGGCTGTGGTGGTGGTGGTGGCTGTGATGGTGATGGTAGCGATGGTGGTGGTGGCGGCGATGGCGGTGAGACTCGCAGGCACTCACGCGTGGTGCAGTTGTCCCCGTAGAAGCCGGTTCTGGTGCAGTCGCATTCGTAGCGGTCGAACCCCACCGTGGAGCACACGCCCCGGTTCTGGCACGGGTTCCCGCAGCACAGGTTCGCTGTCGACACACAAACACACACACACGCTCTAGATACATACACAGATCCCCCGCATAGCGTCATCAGACTATTGGGGCACATTTGAAGGTCGGCAGGACGCACCTATGAGGGATGAGGTGGGGGGGTTCGGTTAAGACCACGCCCGGTCGCCTTTGTATCGTCTCTCGAGAGCTGACGTTTTTACAGCACAATATGTTATAATTTAAAGCTGAGTCGACCTAGGGGTAGCACCGCACAAGTTTTGACGCCACTCGCTACTGATATGAGCTCTGGCTGGGTATCGAATTCAGCTGTCAAGAGTTAGCTGCTTGGTGCGCGCGCGAACTGCAGCCACACAAAAAGCACCCGGACACACACGGACACACAGGGACACACAGGGACACACACGGACACACGGACACACAGGGACACACACGGACACACACGGACACACAGGGACACACACGGACACACAGGGACACACACGGACACACAGGGATACACAGGGACACACAGGGACACGCACGGACACACAGGGACACACACGGACACACACGGACACACAGGGACACACACGGACACACGGACACACACGGACACACAGGGACACACAGGGACACACACGGACACACAGGGACACACAGGGACACACACGAACACACAGGGATACACACGGACACACAGGGACACACACGGACACACAGCGATACACACGGACACACACGGACACACAGGGACACACACGGACACACAGGGATACACACGGACACACACGGACACACAGGGACACACACGGACACACAGGGATACACACGGACACACAGGGACACACAGGGACACACACGGACACACACGGACACACAGGGATACACACGGACACACAGGGACACACGGACACACACGGACACACACGAACACACAGGGATACACACGGACACACAGGGACACACACGGACACACAGGGACACACGGACACACAGGGACACACACGGACACACACGGACACACAGGGACACACACGGACACACAGGGATACACACGGACACACACGGACACACACGGACACACACGGACACACACGGACACACACGGACACACACGGACACACAGGGACACACACGGACACACACGGACACACAGGGATACACACGGACACACAGGGACACACGGACACACAGGGACACACACGGACACACACGGACACACAGGGACACACACGGACACACACGGACACACAGGGACACACATGGACACACAGGGACACACACGGACACACAGGGACACATGGACACACAGGGACACACAGGGACACACGGACACACAGGGACACATGGACACACAGGGACACACAGGGACACACACGGACACACAGGGACACACAGGGACACACAAGCATAAACACGGCGCGAAATGTAAACACATCAGCAAGAGTGAAGAGTGCATGAATGATTTTGGTGTGGTGATGGTGGTGTGGTGCTGCAGGAAGATGCGGTCCCGAATGTGGGCAGAGGAGTTTTTGCAACACATGACGCGACACTTCCTCAACAGACGAGAATTGCGAATGCTGAATATGGGGATGAAACGATGATGATGACACGATGATGATGACACGATGACAACGATGATGGTGACAGGATGAATAATGACCACGATGACCACGATGATGATGACCACGGTGATGGTGACACGATGACAATGATGATGAAGATGATGATGACACGATGACAATGACTACGATGACCACAGTGATGATGACCACGATGATGATGACCACGATGATGATGACAGCGATGATGATGACAACGATGACAATGACCACGATGACAATGACCACGATGATGACCACGGTGATGACCACGGTGATGGCCACGGTGATGATGACACGACGACAATTAGGATGACGATGACGATGACCACGATGACTACAGTGATGATGACTACAGTGATGATGACCACGATGATGATGACCACAATGACGATGGTGGTGATGACGGTCAAGGTTGGAGCAAGGGGACACCCTCACCTGCTTGTGCAGACAGCAACAGCGACAGCGCCACCGCCAGCAGCAGCAAAGTCCGAATGACTAGAGTCTCCATGCGCACGCGACGCGTCTCCGCCTCACCGACTTCAACCAGCGACACCGCCCAGAGATTCTCCTCGACCTCTCGATATTCACCCTCTCGAAATGTGTCACTCTCTCCTCCTTCTCTTCTTCTGCTGCTGCTGCTGCTGCTTCTCTCTGCGGTCTCCTCTGCTCTCCAAGTTACCGCCATCCCCTTTTATCTTCAGTCGCCAAGCGACGCGCGGCGGAAGTCCCCTGAGTCACGGCGGCCTTGCGTCACGGAGCCGCTCCTGCCGGGCAGGGGAGGGGGGGCATGCGAGGTGGAGGGGAGGGGGCATGCGAGTGGAGGGGGGGGGGCATGCGGGTGGAGGGGGGGGCATGCGGGTGGGGAGGGGCGAGCGGCGGTTCTCACAGTCTGCGGTGATTGCGGAAGGTTTTGATGTGGTTCGCATTCTGTCAACAGTGTTCTCGTTCCCCGTAGCGACCGACTGATGACTCTCACCTATGTGTCTCACAGGTGGGGCAGCGGTGGGTGGCGCCGTGGGTAGCGCACTGCTCAGGACCAAGAACAGTGACAGCGAATATGAGATCGGGTCGTGGGTTTTCCCCTCGGCCACAGAGTATTATTAATTGGCGTGATGTGTAAGCACATCGTCACTTGGGAGACAAAGGCGGCCTGGGCGTGGTGCTGGCCACACTAATCTGTCGGTGCTATATGGGGGATCTTTCTCTTTGCTTGTGTGTGTGAAAGTCTCGCGTGCCACCTGAGGCATCTAATTAAGTGGAACTTTCCCTTTGTTAAAATGTCGTGGAAAGTTCCGTCTGTGATGAGACCCAGCCCGCGTCTGTGCGATCACTCTCCGCGCTCCCACCCCGCCTCCGTCGACCGCCTTCCTCCCCGCGGTGACACGGGCACCTCTCCCGGCACCCACAACCCACGCCCTCCCCGCCCCGCCATCACCCGCCACACGCTCACATCCACACCAGCCACCCACCTGCCACACCAACGCGGTCCCATCATCCACTGCTGCTGTTGTCTGCCTTGCCCGTGCTTGAGAATTGATGTACTTATCCGATTTTAACTTATACACTTTAGGTATGTCTATTTACTTGTTTTTGGCTTACCTTTCCAATACTTTGCACTCCTATCGTTGTTTTATTGTTTGTAACTTTCCAGCCCTCTCCTACTGGTCATCTGTGAAAAAGAGCTGCATAGCTAATCGGATTTCCCGCCCCTCCCTCCCAAACATTATCGGATCATTCCCAAAAGATTCCATCCACCGTAACGACTCCTCCTGTTTCTCAAAGGGGGAGTGATTCCCCCCTCTCTCTCCTCCTGTTCCCCCCTCTCCTCCAGTTCCCTCCCTCCTCGCCCCCTCCCCTCCGTCCCGTGTGTGCGGGGTGGAATTCCACAGCGGTTCGCGCCACATTCCCCTATGAGCCCAGCGACCCGGGTTCAATACCCGCTCACGGCCAGTGACGATTGTTTGAACCGATCCTGCGCCTCCCCTAGGTCGACTCAGTCTCAAACGAGTGCGACGAGAGAGACAAAGCTGGTCGGGCGTGATGTTGACCACCCACCTCCTCGTGTGCGGTGCTGACCTTCATTGGTGTTCGCGAACAACACTTGTCCCAACTAGCCGTTAAAAGCTATACGGGGGACCTTTGTGTATCTCACCTGTACTTCCTGTGTGTGTGTATCAGCGTGTGTGTGCGAGGATGTGTCACATTCCTTAGCTCTGCGAGCATTATATTATCTAACCTCTCCTCCTTTACTGCCCCCCACCCCCCACCTTCACCCCGTCCGTCCAGGTGTCACGCACCTGGTGTCTGTAGGAGATGAAAGAGGGCACTCAGGTGTAACGCCCAGTGAGTATGGGAGATTCATCAGATTTTCGGAATGCTTTGATGCGGATTTAAGAATCCCCGCGTGGCGCAGCATACATTTACATCGAGTGGAACGTTTCTGGGGTGGAACACACCTGGGGTGGAACACCTGGTGTGAGACACACTTGGGGTGGAACACACTTGGAGGTGGAACACCTGGTGTGAGACACACTTGGGGTGGAACACACTTGGAGGTGGAACACACCTGGAGTGGAACACACCTGGGGTGGAACACTGGTGTGAGACACACTTGGGGTGGAACACACTTGGAGGTGGAACACACCTGGGGTGGAACACCTGGTGTGAGACACACTTGGGGTGGAACACACTTGGAGGTGGAACACACCTGGGGTGGAACACGTGGTGTGAGACACACTTGGGGTGGAACACACCTGGGGTGGAACACTGGTGTGAGACACACTTGGGGTGGAACACACTTGGAGGTGGAACACACCTGGGGTGGAACACGTGGTGTGAGACACACTTGGGGTGGAACACACCTGGGGTGGAACACTGGTGTGAGACACACTTGGGGTGGAACACACTTGGAGGTGGAACACACCTGGGGTGGAACACCTGGTGTGAGACACACTTGGGGTGGAACACACTTGGGGTGAAACACACCTGGGGTGGAACACTGGTGTGAGACACACTTGGGGTGGAACACACTTGGAGGTGGAACACACCTGGGGTGGAACACGTGGTGTGAGACACACTTGGAGTGGAACACACCTGGGGTGGAACACCTGGTGTGAGACACACTTGGGGTGGAACACACTTGGAGGTGGAACACACCTGGGGTGGAACACCTGGTGTGAGACACACTTGGGGTGGAACACACTTGGAGGTCGAGCACACCTGGGGTGGAACACCTGGGGTGGAACACCTGGTGTGAGACACACTTGGGGTGGAAAACACTTGTAGGTGGAACACACCTGGGGTGGAACACACGTGTCGTCATCTCATACCCCAAGAGCCATCACGCGCGATGTCATCACATGCCCCTCAGGACCTTATGGTGCATAGCGCAGTCTATTATTAAATGTCTTTGGCCTCTATATTTATGCTGTGAAGAAGAACCGTTGGCCGAAACGTTTTTTTTAGGAATGTGTTGCTTTCTTTTGTTATTATCTGTGCTTGTGCATCAACGTCAGCGCAGCGTCACACACACACACACACCTGCCGTGATCCCACTCACCTGAGACCATCACACCTGGCATCATTACCTCCGATTAGCTCGGTTGTCTATATTGGGTGCGAATGAAGTTCTACATACATCATCACGCACCTGAGACCATCACACACCTGGGATCATCATCACACATCTGAGACCATCACACACCTGGCATCACTATCATCATCACGCACCTGAGACCATCACACACCTGGGATCATCATCACACATCTGAGACCATCACAGACCTGGCATCACCATCATCATCACACATCTGAGACCATCACAGACCTGGCATCATGATCACATGCCTGAGACCATAACACACCTTCTGTGGTTCCGCACCACTGCCCAAGACCCACACCTGGCACCATCACACGCACACACACCTGCTCTGCTCTCCCATGTCTGCCCCACATGTCCCCACGTGTGTTCGCGTCTCTCTCTCCCGCAGTAGTCTCCTAGCGCCGCCACTTGCCCGGGGAGTGTCCAAAGGAGCGAGACGCACACGCATTTGGCTGTCAATGAAGGGTCCCAGCTGATAGCGATCTGTGAGTGGTCGCAGGCACTCAAGATTTTACTTGAAGATGACCATGAGGCGCGGACCGAGGAACCCTTCGTTTTCACCCAGTATAATCTAATACAAAATAAAGGGGCTGTTTTCCCGAGAGAGGCAGAACGATGAAGATGGCATCGTGGCCATGATTGCTGATGCGACCACACACTTCATTGGCATCGATTGATACCCCTCCGCCGGATTCCGCAGTTTCTGGTGCACAGGACCTGTCCGGATAGTCCGCACACACCGTCTCTGCCCGTTGTCAGACTCACATAGAGACCCATAGACTCACAGATAAACCCATAGACACACACACAGACCTACAGAATTGAACAGGGACATATAGACTCGCACAGAGCCACAGACTCACGGAGAATCATAGTTTCACATAGAGACCCCCATACTCACACAGAGCCATTTACTGACAAAGAGTCTCCTAGACTCGCACCTACTCACACGGAGAACCATTGACTCATAGATAAACCCCCATACTCACACAGAGAGCCATTGACTCAATCAGAGTCTCATCGACTCAGACGAAGCCACAGACTCACACGGAGAGACCACAAAATGTGGGCTCAGTCTCCACCACCACCTGGCCTCTGGCTTTCTCTTGCCCTGGGTCGAGGACTCGTGGAGGCTGCTCCACTGCTCGTCTGGGTCACCGGCTCCCATGGGGCTACGCGCGTCCCACCCAGCGCGACCGTCTTTGTGTCGCCGTCCTACCAAGAAGCACCTGGCCCAAAGCCTCCGAAGCGCAAAGCGGCGAGCAACAAACAGCACGAAGGAAGCTGTAACAGATACGAGTTGCCGTGGTCTGCGGGCTATGAGGTGCTCCGGAAATTAAGAAATGAAGACGCACCCCACACTCGTGCCCGGTGTCAGCGCAGTCACAGCGCTGGCCACACACGCACAGCTACTGGATTATAAGACGCACCCCTAACAGCTGGAGAGATCCTGATGGTTGATGGTGGTGGTAAAGATGATCATGACGCAAATTGCGATCACATTGATAACCGATGACGTTGACAGAGCTGATGACGATGGTGTAGAAAATCCCTGCACGCACGGGTGGCAGCTGCGACAAGTGGCCAGAGCAGTCTCGCCACGGTGATGGGCGATGTGATGGGTGACGTGATGGGTGACGTGATGGGTGACGCGATGGGTAACGTGATGGGCGGTATGATGGGTGACGTGATGGGCGGTGTGATGGGTGACGTGATGGGTAACGTGATGGGTGACGTGATGGGTAACGTGATGGGTGACGTGATGGGTGACGTGATGGGCGGTGTGATGGGTGACGTGATGGGCAGTGTGATGGGTGACGTGATGGGTGACGTGATGGGCGGTGTGATGGGTGACGTGATGGGCGATGTGATGGATAACGTGATGGGTGACGTGATGTCTAAGTGATGAGTGGTGCGATGGATAACGTTATGGGTAACGTGATGGGTGATGTGATGGGTGACGTGATGGGCGGTGTGATGGGTGACGTGATGGGTGATATGATGGGTGACGTGATGGGTAAGTGATGGGTGACGTGATGAGTGATGTGATGGGTAAGTGATGGGTGACGTGATGGGTGACGTGATGGATAACGTGATGGGTGACGTGATGGGTGACGTGATGGATAACGTGATGGGTGACGTGATGGGTGACGTGATGGAT